CTTCCATTCGATCATTTTCTGCCATTTCTAAAATTCTGTACAACGCCTTCTGTACAACGCATTATATCGATGGCATATATCATATGGTTCAATCTTCTGCTATACGTCGCATCAGTTCCAGGTAAGAAAATGTTCATTCCATGCCCAACGGAAGATCCGTAATTAGGATATACTTCGACAAACACATGAAACAACCATAAAGTTCATTAGGTCAACAAGATCATTCGGGCAATGAGTATTTCTCAGAACCAGGACAACTTGGATTTAGCACTAGTTGGCTCAGATAAGGATACATATAACAGTGAATGGGGAAATACTAGTAGACTATTGCCGGGAACAAGTAGTTAAGAATTATGCAATGACATACCATTTTAATCCCTTCAGTTTATCCTTCACTCAATTGCATGAAGTTGAAGATATAAGAAGCTACAAGTAATCACAAATCCGAAGCTGATCTCGTTGCAGCGAAAAATTCAGAATTACTCCTCATCCGACATTCTTTCATCAAAAGCAACACTGAGAATAAGCTTTTTGTTTTAAAATAACATACGGTAAGAAAGTGAACAAGATCTCGTGATTTAAGTCAGTCGAAATGTGAATCGACAGATTTGATCAATGATGCTGATACAGTCATTTTTCAAATTATATTCATTAATTAGCATATAAAATGGTATTTGTAAACACAGATGTCACATCAGTTTTTCAGTTGGGCAGAAGTATGAATGTCGTTATTGTAATGCGAATACGAAGACAAAGAAGGAATATTCAGAACATCTTAAAACGCACAAGGTACAAGGTTCATATAAATGCACTTGGCCCACATGTGAAATGAAATGCCGTACCTTATGCACACTTCGACAGCATTACGAAAAACATCAACCTAAACTTTTGTGCGAAGGTTGTGGCTCTTTGTTTTATCGTAAGGATGTATTAGAAAAACACGAACAACAATGCAACGGAGGTAACCGTTAGTTTCGCAAAGTTTATATTTAGCAAAAAAATGTTTTCAACGTGTTTATTGGGGAAATCTGTTGCAAAACATCAACAATAGTGAAGTGATAATTCAAAATTCAATACTTACTGCAATATTTTTCTAACCTCAATAGATAGCTGCTTGTCGTTTATCGCAATTGGTGTTTGGCAGTTACTGATGTGATAATGAACGGAGTAACGGAATTCAAGCAATTAGCGCCCATACAGCCCGGTGAATTTAAATGGTATTGACAATGATGACAATAAAGTCATCACTGATGCCAATTGAGAAACGAATATACTAGTGCATT